TTTTTTTTTTTTGTCTCTTCTTCAGGATCCGTTTTCTGATCAGTTCCAGAACAGAGGTGGATCTGAAGCTGCTAAGAGGACACCGCCAACTAGTGGTGCCACATCTAACATGAAGAAAGCTTCTTCAACTACCAATTTTGTCGATGATCTCTCTGCTATATTTGGGAGTATGTCAATTTTTACATCATCTGTAATATCATATTGTTATTAAGCATGTCCCACTGACTTTTCTTCGAACAATCTTCTTCCAAAGCTGCTCCATCGGCTGGAGAGTTTCAGGAAGTTGGAGGCGAAACTGTAGAAAGAAGAAGGGCCAGACTGGATCGCCACCAGCGCACTCAAGAGAGAGCGGTATATCTTTGTGCCTTCTAGCGAGCTGAGTTTCTTCAGAATTCATGATATTTGAGGATAACTTTATTGTTCTGTATGTTATGTATTCTTTCTGCTATTGAGTTCTGGGACTTCGCTTTCTTAGGCAAAAGCATTGGCTGAAAAAAATCAGCGTGACCTTCAAGCTCAGAGAGAACAAGAAGAAAGACATGTGAGTTCCTGCAAGAAATTGATACCTACCCCTGCATGGTTTTTCCTGATGGAATTTATATCAGATTGCTTTCCGTGGAATAATGAATTTGGTCTGTGGATGCCTTTTCTCAAAATGGATTTAGGTGTAGCGAAGATATTCAGAAAATCGCATCGTTAATCTTGTATTTACTTTTGATTCTTTACCTGGAAGAACGTTCTGCAAATTTTGTTCAAGAACTTCTGAAGTTCCACTAGTATCAGTTCGACTGTTTGAAGCTTTTTAAAATGTGGTTGCAAACTTGAGATGTCAAATGATTAAAAAAAATTTCAAATATGTTTGACTGGTCTGAATATAAACTGGCTTCATTACAGAGGATTGCTGAGACACTGGATTTCGAAATCAAGCGTTGGGCTGCTGGCAAAGAAGGAAATTTGCGTGCCCTTCTGTCAACATTACAATATGTGAGTCACCTTTCATAATTATGAGTGTGCTTTAATTGGTTTTAGGAGTTTTAGCTCAAACTACTTTGCATTTCCTGTGTGTTGGTATTATTTCACGTTCTCTCAATGTTGCAGGTGCTTTGGCCTGAATGTGGGTGGCAGCCTGTTTCCTTGACTGATTTGATCACTGGTGCCTCTGTCAAAAAGGTTTATAGAAAAGCAACATTATGCATTCACCCTGACAAGGTACAGCAAAAGGGCGCCACTCTTCAACAGAAATATATTGCTGAGAAGGTTTTCGACCTGCTAAAGGTATTATTCAAATATCTTCAGTTGAGCTTTTTCCTTTTTCTTCCCTTTTTTGTCCTTTTTATGTCTTCTGTTAAAAATGTGAATTTACATCTTATGCTAAGTGTTCTCTTTGGTGAGCCGTACTGAAGTCTGAAATATAATTGCGGAGTTACATATGAATATATGATCGACATATCCCCATATCAAACTCCTGTGTTAAGTACCCATGAAGCTTGATTTAGTGATTAAAAAACAACGCGCAATCATTTTTTCACATTTGTGCGACGGATTGCCGGTAGATATATAAACACCTCTTGAGCACCACCACTATTGCATTTTCATGTTTGGGAATTTTCCCTTAAGTTCGAATGTTTGTATTTCTTAACAGGAAGCTTGGAATAAATTTAACTCTGAGGAGCTATTCTAAATGCTGCCATGAACTCCTTACAACTCCCTCTGAATTGCTCTATTAGAAACGGACATAATGCTCGGCGGCTTCAAAAGTATTATGATCACATCACTGCACCAATGATTTTGCACGATTCTTTTGTAGTGTTGCAATCCTGGATTATGAAAGAGACCCAAACATGCCTCTGAGATGCTTGAGTGGTTTGTACATTTACGCCCGACTGTATATTGATACCTTACACCAAATTCCGGTGAAGCATATAAAGTTGGTATAGAATAGCATTGTTTTAATCACTATCTTGTATTAAAGACTAATCACCCTTGTTACATAATGAGGTGATTGCCTTTGTCCTATTCCATCATTTCCCCCCTTTATTGAGTTATTATTTCTTATCATATATTTTTACTTAATGCTGAAGGTGTTCAGAACCAAAAACATGAGATTTTAAGTTGTATTATTGTTGAGTTGAGAATCAATTTCGAAGTATATTCTCTTGTTTGGTTTGTTAATTCATTTTTGCAGGTTTCAACTTATAAGTTGTACACTTAATACGTATGATTGTTGACCAATTGTGTAATATTTGCAAAGCCAGCTGTTTCTATGAATATATATTCTTTTTGTTCTATATACAAATTATTTATTTTATTTATCTTAGATGTATGTTCGATATTAAATAAAGTATGTAGAATTCAGGTGTGTGTAGGTGTCTACATCTTGTATTGTGGGAATTCTCTCTTTATTTGTTACCATTCTCACTTACAGGTGGTGCAAACGAGTCGAACCGAGCTAGAGACTGAGCTCTTAACTAAACGAGATGATAAATGAGCTCAGACATTGCTTGTTTATAAATGTGAACAAGGTGAGCTAGTAAAAATTACACAAAAATTCATATTTTTTAGTCTCAAACTAAACAAGTTTTAAACAAGTACAAGCTCGCTTTAACAAATTGAGTTTACTAAACAAATTTAAGCAAGTATGAGCTTGCCTTTAAGGAACGAGTTTACGAGCGATATGGTGACGAATCAAGTCTAAGAACTATATGTTATAAACTTTAAACAAGCATGAGTTTGCCTTAAGGAACTGAGTTTACGAGCGATGTGGTAACAAATCGTGTTTAAGAACTTTATATTTCGTCTAACAGATCTAATACTTGCAATTTTTATTAATAAAACATATAAACACAATAAAAAAGAAATAAAGAAATGATAATTCAATGGGACATATAATTATTGTTACACCTACTTGTTGACAACCATGTTATAAAACGGTGAATGAATGTGACGGATAATGCTCCCCTATCCACGGTGTGCACATGTTAATATGTCCACCATTTACGTGCATGCATAAATTGATAATGTTAATATGTTCAAAAAAATATATCACCAATGCGTGCATGCCACATAATCGGAGGATATATTAACATGTGTGTACGGTAGGTATAGGAGCATTACTCTGAATGTGGCAATGAATTGACCTAATAGTTTGTTTGCCAATCATCCACACCACCAGATGCGGCGAAATCTTTGTTTAATACTAATAGAGGTCAACTATTCATGAGCTGCTATGATATTGTTGTAACTTGTACGCATGTCTTGATTGATTTAACATTTATTTATCATTAAAAGTTGAATCACTAGCTAATATTTAACACATTATATACAATTTGAATAATATGATGATATATTTTCTTAATTTTTGTGGGGGGCTAACAAAAAATAATCTATGGCAATATGGAGTAATTGATATTGTATGACTGGAGGTTGATGAATTTAATTTAAATTATTACTTGATGAATTGAGTAATTTGATTAGTTGATTAATTTTTTTTGCTAATACGAACATAACCTTAAAGATATAATACAATAAAATTCATCAAAATTTAAAAGAGATAAATAACATCATAAAATTAATAGGACACAGTGGTTTCAATAAACAGATTTTGAATTAAATGGCACGCGTCCAAATTCACTCGTAGGCTATTATAGCTCAAGATTTATGAGCATTAACACAATAACTAACATTATTACATTGAGTTGAACCCTTAGTATAAATTTTATTTATGTATATGTACTGTACAATTGAATAATGCAGTTTCATCATGGAACTTTAATTAAATTATTCATATAAAAACAACACTTCCCCAAAATTGTTACACAAAGTGTGTTCTGAATTACAACGGGAACATATGAACTGACTGAAGTGTTCAGTTCGTACAAAAGAACTAAAACAAAAAATAAAAT